ACAGCATATACTAGACTTCAAAACCACCTCCAACATTGATAAACCTCACAAAACATGTAAGATAAAACAAGTTACACAAAGAAAGGGTTTTTTTGTTTGCTTGTTTGTTTTTACAAAGAAAGTTTTATCAATATTATGTATGTAGTTATTTAAAGCTTGCAAAACAATGTATATCATTTACATTATTGCATGTGCATACATATAGATGTATGTATATGAGGGTATGTCAAAAGGTGCATGGAGAATAGAATTAAGAGATCATGGAATTTTTCCATAAGTTTTTGAAGTACCCTGGTGTGTATGTGTGGACGACGACAACCAACTTCAGGATCATGATTCCCTTGGGGTAAGAAGGTGGGGAATGGGATGGCCCTAGGGCTGAGGTTCAAATAGGGCTTCAAATATACTTGTAATACATTTTTTCTTACGCTAAGTGACAAGTACGCAAAACCAGTCTCTGTCAAGTTAGACTTGACCATTGGGAGCCTGTGTGGATCCGAGCAGAACTGTGCTCCCTCGGGTGTTCAGTGGTTGGAGAAGTAGATCACCAGGCCTTTCTTCTGATGCACCTCGGAGTGAACTAGAACCACCATTCTTTCACTCAGGAGTAAACAAGCAAACAAACAAATCTCCCTGTGACTGAGTCAAGTCCAACTCATCACGCCCCTAGAGGCAGGGTAGAATGCCCCTGTGGGTTTCTGAGACTGACTCTTTATGGGCCTAGAAACTCGTCTTTCGCCCACGGAGCAGCTGGTCGTTTCTTTTGTGGTTTAGCTGCCGACGTGGAAACCACTGTGCCACCACGGCTCCTCTCAGCAGTCCACCCAGGAGCTCCAGTGAGGGACACGTTGAAAAAGGCTCACTGCCATCTAGTCCATCCCGACTTGGCTGTGACCCTTCAGGACAAGGTACAACTGCCCCTGTGAGTTTCCGAGACCATCCGAGGTAGTGAAAAGCCTCATCTTTCTACCTCTGAGCGGCTGGAGATTTCGAACTGCTGATGTTGCAGGTGGCAGACCCCTCATAATCACTATGCTTCCAGGGTTCCACTACGGATACAGAAGTGGTCATTACAGCTGTGCTTTTTCATGTATAATGGAAAGATTTCCAGGCACGTTTGGCATATTAAACTCAAAAACATTTAGTTTCATGGCCTCTCAAAACACCACTAGTGTACTGTGGAGGGAGGTCAGATGCTTACAGGCTGCCGCCCTGAGAGCGATCAGTTGCCAGACTGCAGTGGGCACCACCCCCCGCCCCCCTGCTATTAAGGACAATGGACAGGCCTGCAGTCATCAACTTGAGTCCTGTAGGTGGGGTTCATACCCTACTGATAATAGTTCCTATGGAGATCCAGCTGCCATCCTGAATCTACGATCCACCCATCTTGTCACAAGCATACCCCCAATCCCTCCTCTTCCTATTGCGTGTATGCCCCTAGACCACCTCCTTCCATTACTGTATAACCTATAGTGCAACCCCTTCCTGTGACGTATGTCTACCTGTAATTAGTGGACTTGCACGCCCCCAAAGGTATATAGGCCTGGGTTAGCAATAGAGTCTCTCCCTCCCTCGCTCCAGAGTCTCTCCCTCCCTCGCTCCAGCTCTTGCTCGGCTCCCCCTCTCCTCCTCGCTCCTTTCCTCCCTTGACTCGCTCTTCTATCTCTCATGCTCTTGATGACTTTAATACAGTATTTATAGATCTCAACTGTACAATTGTGCTTACTGAA